AACATCATATTAATATGCTATATGCTTACATGAGTAAAATTTTACAAATGATGAATACCATCTTGTAATAAATTATCAAATTATTCTACACTTAATTGAATGAGCCAGGCATCATCCTATCATGCCCCATACATATTCAAATGAAGATATGTCTGGCAGTTGTGCCAACAAGATAAATTATTGAATATGTTAAGTAATGAGGGCATTGTGTAGGCAGGTATTATTCTGCTAAAACAGCACAATGCTTTCCTATTACAGGAATAACCGCAGAGCAAGTTGAACAATATTTTGGACTTATATGCTATACATTCTAATTTCTCAGCAGAGGCACTAAAGGTGAGCAGGAGTTGGGTAGATGTGTTGTAGGTAAATACACTGTGGAATATATCACACTCCAGGCCTACTACATCACATATGCAAATGTGTTGGGTATCCCTAAGGAAGTCAAATGAACTCACCCAAGAGTTACTTAAAGGAAAAGTAACTGCAACTCAATACCAGTTATTCAAGCAAAGTTCTCACTTGTACTAACATGTAAATAAAGTGTTTGTAGTACTGAATCCCATTGCTGATCTACTTGTCATCACTGCTGCAGACTCCCTCTCTTCTGGAGAGGTCTTGGCTACTGCACCAAATAAGCAAAATGTTGTATAGCCCCCTCGTTCTGGGGATGTCTCTTGGTTGATGGTCTTGAGGTGATCATAATAGAGTTGTCTTCCTCCCTTTCTTCTCTCGGCAGGGTAGCATTGAATAGTTGTTTTTTTTCTTTTTTAGTTTGGAGGTAAAATGAGAACTTCAACAAAAGGGATTTGAAACTTATCTATTGACATGTACATTTTTAACTAGCCAGTGATGTCATTCTATCACTCCCACTGAGGAGCAAGTTCTGAGAGACACAAAATAACCGCATCTACTGTGTAAAAACATAACTCTCTGAAATCACTTTCTATCTAACATTCCCACCTTTGGTTCAGCCAATCAAAATTGACATCCCCATTTAGTCTACCATCTGACCTTAAAGGTCAGCCTCAGAAGGTCTGAGCCAAAAATACACTGCCACTAAAAATAATAGTCTGAAACTATTATTTAACAACAACCATGTCAATCACTATAACAAAATGATGATCCTTTGCATTAATATAGAACCTGAACAGATTGATCGGTAAACTTCTTTTGACTCCTTTGAATGCATACACAGTAGTGTTGTAACATAAGTGGAAATCTGGTAAAAGACACGTTCTTCAGCAAGACAGTTTGTATTGAAACTCCTGTGGCCATATTTGTTCTGTGCAGGGGATGCTGTGCAGCCTGTTACTGCATTTTACTGGATTGATTGATTAATTTAGGTTTTGTGGCTTATCAACCTTTTGCCAGAAAATATTTTTTTTAGTTTGTAATATTTTTATTGAGAAAATAATGATTTACTGATACAAGTCCTACTAATTAATCCATAGCTGGGGAAAAGAAGAGGTGGGTTCATACCTTTCCCAAGGGTATTCACATGTAAGGGAATATAAAGAACATGGCTAGAATTCTGATTTCCAATTCCAAGTCATTATCCATTATACTTACAGCATTTGGTATTCCCAAGTGATCACCCATATAGGTGCTGACCAAGCTCAGTGTTGCTTAACTTTAGAGATCTTGCAAGAATTGATGTTTGCAAATGATGTAACCTTAAGCCACCACGCATCAATCATGGTATGCATCTGGATTACATGATCATCCAGAACCTGGTTCATTTGACTACTGTTGCCAACAATGAAGTAGCACTTATCAAAAAAAGTGCAGTATTTCTCCAAAATGAATATTTAAGTACTTGAATGCTTAGGATCAAATCTCTTTCAAAGAATTTCCAGGTTTTCCCTTTTTGGAGCCATAGTCAAGAGTGTTTTGAGGTCTTTTATATTGAGCCATGGTCAAGTGTGTTTCAAGATCTTCCTGTTTGAAGCCATACTTCAGTGTTTTGAGATTATAAATATCACAAACATTTTGAATATTTGTTTGGAAACATTATGGGTTTGTTAACAGAAAATGTACCAGAGAACAAAATTTTTGGAGAACTTTATGCAAGATACTCTTTCAGAATATAATAAAATTATATCCCTGACATATACAAATGTCAGGAGGGAATTGGTTCATATAGCCAGACTAGTTAGGCCATTTGAGTATTACTGATGAAAATTAAAATTTTACCCTGTCATTTTCATAGTTAGTAATCCTGATAATTAAGATCTATTTTCAAAATTAAGTCAAGTGTGATTTATGATTTCAACACTTAAAATGAATCTTTTAGCAGGAGGAAGTTCTATTTACTTTAACCCTTCATTGCCATTTTGTTATTTTTTGTGCATTCAGTTGTTTGATATTTATCAAATATTAAAAAAATAATCTAAAAATAATAAAAGTATATAACCTTTAATACATTATACTTCTTTTTATTATTTACCAAATTTTGAAAAGACTGTTCAAACAAGAAAAAAAAGTTTATTCTCATAAATTCTTTGTAGGTAATGTTTATAAACACAGTGTAAATGTTCTTTCCCCTTAGCTCCTTATAGGCATAAATCTTTGCTTGATATATTGTAACAGTAAATAAATAGCCACAGCCTTAGTTCTGAACTAAATTACAAATGTTTGAAAGTTGATTATGAGAAGCATCTCTATGCATTTATTTTACCCTCTACCTTGAGTGGCTCTTGGACTTTTTATTGGGTAAACTAAAGTAAAGAAAAAGAAGTTAGCATGATTGAGTTTATGCAAAATCATGATTTTTATTTAAACTTTCAGTTGGGATGCTCTCGTATTAACAATGATATAAAAGTAATACAAAATATAAAACTCATTCAATAGCATGAGACAAACTTTGGTAAATATATTTGCTTTCATGCCAAGCAAGGCAATAAAGCCACTAAGATGCAAGGGGTTATCAGGTGTGAGAGAATACAAGAAAAAGAAAACATTATCAAGGAGAGAGAATAATAAAAGAACAGGAATTAAGAAAACAGAAGATATTGATTAACATTGCATTTAAATTTTTAAAGAACAAAGTTGACTGGAAAACAAGAAGCTGGAAGAGAGTTCCACAAGTAAGAAGTGCAAGAGAAGAAATTACAGTTAGTTCAAGCTGTTTCAATTTGTAATTTGCATGTCAGTCTGTTTTTTTTTTTGTTTTTTTTTAACAACCATGCATTTCGTTTTCGTACAAGTAATGTTTAGTCCTTTCCTCTTGCTTTCTGTCATTATTTTCTGTAGAAGTTTTTGTAGTTTCTGTGTCTGTTATCAGCACTATTATCTTCATATGTTATTAAGGCCACCAATAATAAATCCTGGTAGGACTTCTAATTTTTTCAGAATTGCCTCACTGTATTTAAGAATATAATAAAATTGATCTAGATAATAATGTATGCCTGACATATATAAATGTTAGGGGAATTAGTTCATGTAGCCAGAATGGGCCACTTGAGTATTACTGATGAAAATTAAAATTTCACTCTGTCACTTTCATAGTTAAGAATTGTGATAATTAAAATATATTTTATAAAAATAAGTCAAGTGTGATTAGATTTAAAGACTCCAGATTGAAGGAAGTTTGGTCCACTAATGATACAAGTTGTCACTGAAAATTTTGTTGTGTGAATTATTTGCACATTCAGTTTTCGCATTTACTGAATACTTTGAAATTTTTATCAGAATATCTACCACTCTTCTAACATGCATATATGGTATTCAAGTCAAATTTGGCATCATTCTTTTGGGTGATGGTATTTTATTTTCTGTCAGGGAATGTTATAAAATTTCAAAACCAGCTATAGAGTTTGTCTGGCTTGTTGTGGCAGTTAAATAATTGAATAATTATATTCGAATGTCATATTCCACTTATAAAGTTACATCAGTATTGTGAGATAATGTTGAAGTACTATTGATTAGTGGTAATGATGATCCAGTTGTGAAATCATATTGAAACCCACATTTGTCATTTGATGATGCTGGAAACAACTGCAGATGTATTTCAGTAGTCTCCCTCCATCCCCATCTCTCTCTCTCTATATATATATATATATATATATCCGATGATTGCGTCCAGCATGAAACAGCCTGTCGCCTCTGAGTGTTGGCTTCAATGTTCACTTTTATATTTACATACGCTCTATCACTGATATTGAGCACTTTATCCCATAAATATAGCACACCTTAAAACTATATTTCATATATATATATATATATATATATATATATATATATATATGCATGTACACATACAGACCAACATGTAACTCATGAGAATCATTACAGAATAACAAAAAAAAATTGTTTTATATATATATATATAGAAAAGCACAAATGAAAATTTCTCCAAATAAAACCAATAACGACAAAAATCATTTTTTAATACTAAGATTTGCTCAAGAGCAACTAAAGATAGTGGTTAAAATGATTATGATTAATAAATTGTGTGATATGAATGAAAGAGGAGGTGGCAGGAAGTGAAGATTGTGAAGATATGGAAGATAGATAATGATTGAACCATGACTTGTCTCGAGGTTAAAATTGTCATGTTCAGGAAATCATTTGCATAGCACTCTGTTCTGTATAGCTTTTCCTCCAAGAACTACTACTATTTGAGTGGAACTTCCTCTTTACAAATGGAATATAGAAGAAATAAGGTCTATAGAAGCAACATGGTGATCTGAACTGGCAAAGTTAAAAAATGTAAATAACAATAAAATAGTGATAGATTTGTGACATTGAGGTGAAGAAGCCCTAGAGGGGAGAATAAGTTATTTAAAGAGATTATAGCAAATAAAAACTAGTATAAAATACTATAAAACCAAAACCATATAAAACAAATGGCTACAATTCCTGCATCGATTTACCATTATGAGCATCTCTTAACAAATTCCTCAAAACCAGGAAATTAGAACTTCTTTTGAACAAGACTGACAATGACAACCATACCAGCCCAAACTAAATCCTATTTACTATTGTTCTTTTCACAGGCCGCTTCACATTCTCATTCTGAATGCTGGTGTCTTTGGTTTGCCTTACACTGCAACAGAAGATAATGTTGAGATAACTTTCCAAGTGAATCACTTATCCCACTTTTACCTGTCTTTATTGCTGAAAGATGTAATGGTCAGTTCCAATCCTTGCAGAATTGTTGTTGTCTCATCAGAGTCACACAGGTAAGATAAAAAAAAAACCATCATAAACACTTTATATATGTAAGGTAAAAAGATATATAAATTTTTATATACCAGAAACCTTGAGAAATTTAATGAAAAGATTATATGAACACAAAAGAGATCTTTTACAAAACACCACACTCAATGCATTAGTTGCTTGCCATAATGAGTCTTTGTTGAAGCTTGAATAAGCATGGAATAATAATAATACAACACAAAATGTACGTAACAAAATGTATTGAAACAATGAAAAAAGGTACACAATATTTACAGGTAGTTTTGGTATATTCTTGGGAAGACTGTTCCTGCAGAATGGGTTGACTAAGTCGCAGTCGGGCAGAGTCTCTGGATTCGATCTCTTAATCTTCCGTCGTCTTCCGGTACCAACCCATATTTATATGGTCGGTACTCCACTTATGTAAATTAGGTGTATCATACACAACAGTCTTACTATAATTTTGGTTTGAAAAATGCTATTTTAATTAAAATAGAAAGCAGTTTACTGAGACAAAAGTGTATAGAAAGTGCTTTAATTGCTAGATCATCCACAGTAAATTTGTGTCAAGGTTTCTTGCAATATTTCACCTTTCTTGGCAGATCTTCTCTCATTACAATGTGGGATACTTAATAACAATAGTAATAAAAAGAAAAACTAAATGAAATTTGCTACACTATATACCAAAACATATTTTTTTTAAAAAGTTTAAAATGTCAGTAATTTATGTACATATTGGCACGAATGTAAACATCAGTTAAAGTTCTAAAGGATGTAAAGCCTTACATGAAGAAGGTTTTCCACTTCATCATTGATTTTCTTAATATTTATGTATATGCAAATCACTTCAGTATCACATAAATATTATATACATAAATGGTACACGACTATTCGGAAAAACTTTCGACATATTTTACCAATCAAAGTGACAGAACAGGATTTACATAAATCATATCAATGCTTAAATTGTTTTGTTTTGCTTTTTTACTTTAAATGTATTGTTTCCTAAAATTGGATTCAACTCAAATAAAAACCAAATTTAAATTAGTAAAATCTAATTCTAAAAACAAAGTTAAAGTAAAAAGAATAAAAATATGACATGTTCATATGTTCCCATTCCATCTTGCTAATGCAGATTTAGTTGAAATAAAATCCATTTTTCTGCTGATGCTGTTTGATGGCAAAACATATCATAAGAAAAGTTTTTTTTTTCCAAATTGTCTTAAATATTTACCATTCCTTCAGGTTCTCCTCTCAATTGAAATCAAAAGTCAGATATGACTGTAGATATGTTAGTGCAAAGTGAATAAAAATTGTCTCAACAGGAATTTGTGTTCAATTCCCTGGTTCCATTTTACAACCAGATAACCCAAACAGCAGCCTGCACCTCCAAGCTCATAAATATGCCACGTTGTTATAAATGTTTTTTATTGGCACTAAATACATGTTTTTCCCAGTGAATAAAAAGATTTATCCAATACATACATTTTTATGACAAAATATTTTGTTAGCAGAACTAATCTTACGATTAAAACATATCATTACAAGTAATTTTAGTGTTGTTGGATACAGGATAGCATTTTGATTTGGCCTGATGATTTTAACCCATGTTCTCTTTGTGTCAGTTTAATCTGTCTTTACTTTTGCTATATGTCTAAACTATTATAGTTTTGGAAGGTAATTTCACTGAAATATGTTGGAAAATTTCCAATTTTTTATGTGAAAGCAAAAAACATTTTTCCTTTAAGCAAAATGGTCACAAAATATGAAAAATCAGTTAAAAGTGATGCCAGGAGGATATGGGTTAAAATAACACGCATTTCTTAATTTGAGAATTGGGGAAAAACGACTTTTGAGTTTGGACTGTACCATACATATACACAATAGAACATACAGAGAAGATTCTATGATGTTGTGTATATTGTACATGAAGAAAGAGGTTTTAACAAATTGACATACATATTCATATGTGTGGATAGCATAAAAAATAATACATATAGACAAAACATTATCATCAAAACCTCTTTGATAATGCCTGAAAGAACTCAGACATCAGAAAATATATAATCAAATTATCTCTTGAAATATAGAAAGAATAAATAAGAAAATCTACAACAAAGAACTTTTGTGTGTCTTTAAACAAAGTTCTATGTAGGTGTATTGTTAGATTAACCCCTCCTAATTTTCAGAACCACTACTCAGGGACACTCTCCGGACTATAAACAATCAGCAATATTTTTTTTCTCATGTTCTTCTTACCTTATCTGCTTATTTGTCAACATGTAACCTCCCACAGAGAATTCATGCTCTGTAGGAAACACACTAAAAATACATGCACACAAACACACACATACATATGCATATTCACTGACTTCACATACTTTGAACCCAAACATTTTTTACATTCATTTGTTACACACTTTGCTGTCTTTGTTGCTTGTATACCTTTATTGTTGATACATTATCATTTGCTTATACATATATATTGGTTCTTGACATTTCTTTATGTGGACTCACATCTTGAGTCTGCCATTTTTATGTAGGTATTTTCAGGTGACACGTTTATTTCTCAACTCAAACACTGACATTACTAATAACCTCAATAAGTTTTGGAAGCATGTAAACTGGCCCGCAACTGTGTGTGTGTGTGTGTGTGTGTGTGTGTGTATGTAAAATTTCAGATATAGCTAAAAATATATCTGTAAAAAGACTATGAATAAAGACACAAGTAAAACTTATCTTAGTTGACATGTTTCATCCTCTGACGGACTTTATGAAGGAAAATGTAAGGATTTTATTTTGCAACATGTATTTACAAACAAAAGTAAAAATGTATTTTTAAAATCTTTAGAATTAAGAACGTCTATGAACACAAAAAGGATCTTATACACAAAATCTTATCAAATACATTTGTCATACACAGAAATAAATTCAACCAGTTTTTTGATCAAAAGGGTACACTTATCAAAATAGAAAATAATTTATGTAAACAAAAGATTCTTGGAAGTGCTGACATTGAACCTTACCAAAATATATATCTGTCCCATTTTCAAATACCTCTATTCCTGAAATAAACATTCCCTTATATACCAGCATACATGAGTATAAAAATATTAAAAAATTGAAAGAAAATGGCTAAATTCATAGCCTTCTTTTATTTAAAATATATAATACATAAATTAATCCCAAATAATATAAATATTAATTACATTATAAAAAAAGAAAGAAAGTTCAACAACAACATTTACAGACTTTTGTTTATTAGACATTAAATTACATCACTTAATTTACCTCACTTTACATCACTTAATTTTTAAGAAAAACTTATCTTAGCCAACTTATGTGTTGGCTAAGATAAGTTTTCCTTTTATAATAAACAGTATTAACAACATTTACTGGCCTGAATGTCCAAGAAATTTTCATTTTATAAACACAGCATTTACTTAAATATTTGTATCTATAAAAAAGAATGTATAAACATAAAAATGTCTTAAAAAAATAATTGTTGGACTTTGTCCATTTCACAATGTATGATGTCATTTGTTTACATTTGGATACGCATTGAACAGATATGAATGTACCTGAGAAAATCATGGAAAATTGTAGTTTAAAAACAGTAAAATTGACCTTGCTAACCGAAAAACTCCTCTGTGGTGAAATCGGTAAAAGCACCTCAGGCTATATGATGGTTCCATATATGATATGGGTTTGATTCCTGTCAGAAGATGCATATTTTCTATGACAAGCATTTACTTAAATATTTGTATCAAAAAAGAATGTATGAACATAAAAATGTCATAAAAAAAAATTGTTGGACTTTGTCCATTTCATAATATATACACACACAGTGGAACTTTGGTTCACAAATTTAATGCATACCTGAAGGCCATTCATAAACTGAAACTATTTTTCCAATAGGAATAAATGTAGAGAAAAAAGTCACAGTACAATAAAATTGGAAAAGAAAAGCACAAGACACGAATGTATATAACACGGTGGTTGACTCAGAAATTATTCCATTCATGTTAACTCTGTTCACCTATATTGTTTGAGAACTGAAATTTTGTTTGATAACTGAGTCATTTTCATCTCAAATTTTCTGTTTGAAAATTGATTTGTTCGACATGTGAGATGTTCGAGAACCGAGGCTCCACTGTGTGTGTGTGTGTATATATATATATATATGAATTCACACACAGTGACCAAAAAAAGTCCTTGCTATTTTTGATTTATTTAAAAATAAGAAAAAAAAAGAAGTATACAACAAACTTAGTCCTGAAAGTAATCCCCATCATCATTCAGAATCTTCTGGCAATGTGCCCTCGGCTGTGCAATGCCCTGATGGTAAAAATTAGGTGTATTGGATACGAAGAAATCTGTGAGTGCTTGCTACAAGTCTGCCTCATTTGCAAAGGTTTCCCACAAAGGGGATTGTCCAGGAAATAGAAGAGGTAGTAATCTGTTGGCACAAGGTGTAAGGTGGATGTGACTTTCAACCACAGTATCCCTGGCCACCCATGCCACATGAGGCCTGGCATTGTCATGGAGGAACAGTACACTGTTGCAATTAACCAATGTTGGCTCCTTCTGCTTCACTGCCTGTTGCACACATTCCAACTGTGAGTATAGGTCTGCAGTGATAGTTTGGCCGATTGATAGCAGCTCATAGTGCACTACTTGTTGACTAGTCCACCAAATACAGAGCATGATCTTGAATGGGTTTAGAGGTGGTCTTGTGGTGTGAGACACAGGGTTTCATGGTGACAACCATTGTCTGGCACACTTGGCAGTGTCATATATGATCCATTTTTCATCACTGGTAAGCACTTGATCAAAAATGATGCTGAGAAAGAAACAAGAAACAGGCTATCACTTGTTACATATTGGTTTCTGACAGTGTGTGGGGTACCCACTTGATTTACTTGTACATCTTCCCTATGCAGTGCAGGTAAAGTCTAACTGTTTCATTGGAAACTTGAAAGAGTTCGGCAAGCTCACCACAGGT